AATTACGCTAGCATTCGGCGGCTATCCAGACTCTTGAATTTTATCTATCAATTTTTCTATGGGAGAGATGCTTTAATTGGGTTTAATGACAGCCTTCTCGGTGACGACGGAACATTTGCTTAAGAGCATCGTCCCAGGTTGGCTTGCTTGTCACACATAAATTTCGCACTCACTACCGACCGACGAGAGCTTTCTTGCTATCGTGAACTGTGGCCCCATCAACGCCTTACTCGCTCTGTCTATTTTTTCTTCACCCCGGGGGCGAAGGCTGCACTCATGAAGTTGGGGGACTGCTCTGAGCTGCTGGTATCCGAGGAACAATGACAACGGCGGCGATGAAGATTCGATTTGAGACGCATTGATCCATCATCATCAGCCTAATCCGAAGGGATTTCCCGAGTATGAACCATCATCATCTATCATCGACTGACGCGTGCGTGAATCGCTTTGTCCATTGTTAGCAATCGTGTCTCCGACGCAAGAATGAGCGTGCGCGACGTTTGTAGTTTCTTGAGGGATCGACTCGGTCCCGAAGACTTTGGGCCACTCATTCATCTTGAGACTCACTATCCAAGGAAGTACCGAGGACATGAACGAGTTGCGGGGTTAGTTCCCTCTCCGATTGCAGATGTCTCCGAGCACTTAAGAGGTCGGTTTTCCGTTTGCGAAGGAACGTCTCGGGTTGCCTTGAGCTTGCAGAATTATTAACAGGTTGGCACGCGCCAGAGCCCACATCTAGCTCGGGAGATGGATCTCGTTCCGCTGCTCAGATCTACTCTCATTTTGGCCAGAGTATTATGTCTCACTCGGACAGAGATGTCTCGCCGAAAACGATGTCGAACAAAGAGTGCCAGGGATGTTTCGGACTTGATTCTCTGTTGCAATCTCCTTTCGACGGTCTAGAGGAGAAGGCTCGGGTAGGGAAGAGCAATCACCGTTTCCTGTTCCGCTTTCAACGTCCCTCCATTTCCTCTCCCCGCGAAGTCTCGTATCGGTTGTGTCTTGCTGCATGAGTATCGGATCGAGTGCACTGAACTCAAGCCGGACAATGTGTCTCTCGCGGAATTTTTGAGATCTAATAATTCCGATCGAGAGACCCACGACCGGTTTAGCATCGACGCGACGAGGAGTCCGTCGAACTCCTCTTTGTTTTCTGAAGATCGAGCGATTTCTATGTACTAGGTAGTGTGCGGGAGACCCATACGGTACTTGATAGAGAGAAGGACACCGAAGCGTCGAAGCGTGGTTGTCGAGCTTAATAAGCAACCACCTAATTCGATAAGTGAGTGTGAACGGGGAAAAAACGACCGATGAGCCCGCATGCATGAACTCCGCGCCGGGGAGGTGATGAAGAGGTTATGGGGCGCGGGTCACGTGGCCATGAGCGACGAGTCAACAGCAACGAGTGAAAAATGAGCAAGACCAAAGAGAGAGCACTCCCTCAGCGTTCGGCGCACTCAATTCCGGAGCTCTAACGAGTATACATGGAGCGCATTCTGAGCGGGAGAGATGACGAACGAAAAAAGGACTTCGGTCAGGAAGGACAATGGAGTGGGAGGAGGGAGAGCCGTAGTCGGGGGGAGAGGCGACACGACGAGCTTCAAGACTTCCTCATCATTATGAATGCAGAGTAGCCGTATCGGCTAGCCGGGGATAGCAGCACGGAGCGGATGTGCAAACTCCGGCGTGTATGCGTGTGATGGAGCCTGTGCTAGCTTCGTATGAACAAATAGATCGAAGACAGATGGCATCTTGGTGAGAGCAGAGAAAGGGGCTTGCCGATGTCACAGCTCTGTACGCTGTGCCTCGCATGCCTCTGAGTTTGTGTGCGGTCTCTTCTCTGCGATGAAGGAGTCAAGTGTCCTCGACTAGAATTCTCGGCAGCGACGGATATGACGAGTCAGTCGACAGCCTGAAACTACGATGACACATTTTCGTGATCGTCATACGCTCTGCTTGCGATTCGGATTTGCTTCAAGTAGGTGGATTGCAGCTGGCGAGCTCCAGACATGGGTACCCACTCTCGGGTCTCGTCTCGAACCCGGTTCGGCTGTACTTCGCCTATGTTTTTTCTCTTGGTTTTTTTTATCTGCGGCACCATTTGTGTTTTCGCTTGCGAGCGAGCGGCTTCCTGTCTCGGTGGCGACAATAAAAGTTGGCGAGCGATATCTCAACTAACGTTGTTTCGGTCTCTTTCGTTTAACGAAGCGCGTTTCTCTTGCGTATAATTTATAACGAGCGCCGCACACAGAACGCTACGACAGTTGCCAGCTGCCATGACTTCTGCTTCCGCGGTTATTGCTCGCGTTTGTCGGTGCATATGCGCGTGAATGAATCAGAAGAGATCCCTGAGAAGAAACAAGAGATCCCACTCAGACCCAGCGATCGCGGCCCGTCGATTCACTATCAACAACTGCCGTGCACGTTTTCCGTCCGTTCGGTGTGAGAGCATTCCGAAAGCCTGCAGGTGGAGCGTCCGATCGAAATCCTCGGGAGCGTCCTCGGCTACCAGTGTTGATTCAAGCCGACGACGACCAACATCGCTGACATTCGGTTGTAAATTTTCTGTCTTTCCCGTGCGTGGCCGCGTGAGTATCGTAGATCTTCGGCGCTCCGACTTCACCCACTTCATGCATCGTAGCTGATAACGAGACTAGTTCCCTCTGCTATCTATATGACTCGTGAGTGCGTGATTGACCGGGCGGACGATTCGTCTAGCGACGGCTTTGGCGACGGAGCGCGTGGACTGTTTATCTTTGGTAACTAATCGCTACCGTGGTGGAAGCTCATCAATTCGCAAATTTGCTCGATCCTTGAACTCTTCGATCAGTCAGACTCGATCGGTCCGAATGGCTCAATCACAATTCGTATCTTCGGTGGAGGCAAGCTCGAAATACGGTCGGGCTTGTGTCGACGCTTCGCACATTTAAGTTTGACACGCCGCTGCCGTGAGCCGCGAACAAACGACAGCCTACAGCCCGACCCTAGGGGATGAGGAGGGCCGTGGCGACGGCAACGTTCACTATTCGATGACGAATCGTTTCTGGAACGAATTATGGGTCACCGTGGCAGTGTATATACACACTCTTGAGCCTGTTGGTACGATTCTGCGGAGGAACGGTTCAAATGAAGTCCACGAACGGTATCGTCGATCAGTTCTGCTGGAAGGTCGTCGAGATCGATGTTGAATCGTCCACCGCCGCTTTTTAGCGCTCGAGGCCTTCTGACAACATGGATGCAGGGAGTCTTTCGAATTGGATGTTTGACGAGACTCCAGGTCGGATTTCTCCCGTACATCATCGGTGGGCAATGGATCTCGTGGCCGCTTCGGGCAGAGGTGTCCCGCCGACGGGTCTTAGAGCGTCTTATTTAGAAAATTCAACGAACGGCAGAAGTGAAATAACGATCGGTACGCAGCCTTTTCGGTCATAAATCAAGCCCCGCCTTTCTCCTTCCTTGTCGCGATCGTCGCCGCCGTCGCAGCCGATGCCGAGGGTTATCTTTCGCACGTAGCGCTCCTCCGCGTAAGATTATCGCTATATTGACTTGTCCTGAGCGAGCTTCGATCACTCGAGCTGGCCGCGCGCCACACCGAAGTGAACGAATAGAAGGACTCGCGAGCGACTCAACTTGTCCACGGTCGAAGAAGAACGCGACCGTCGCCGAGTGTCGCGAACAAGTTCCACTTAGGGATCCCACAAAGCCGACGAAGTTCTCGGTCAATGGAACTCACGCAGACAAATTCCCAATGGAGCGGATTCGGAGCTCGAGGTATGTATGTAGTTGAGGAACAAGCCGAAAACCGTGTTCCCCGCTCCAAACGGGAAAAAAAATCCTCATTCTCGAAATTCGATCGTGAAAAATTGGTGGGAGGGGAATCGCCATTGGAATTCAGAATTCTCGTCGGTTCAACTCATGAGCGAAATCGAAAAGCTATGGTACGAAAGAAGATCGTGTACGTATGGAGAATCTTGTCGTCCCTGCAAGGAACAGATGACAAATACGCGCCACGGAATCACTGTTTGAATTCGTGAGTTGGGACTCTACTCCGACTGTTCGAGCCAATCGGCCTGACCGTATGTTTGCCTGCTTCTGCTCGCCGAGCAGAGCGATGGACCGCTCATCGTTCGTCGTACGGAGATTTCGAACAGTGATGCGGATGCTCTCACTTTTCGAACTTCGTCTTCTTTGAATCGCACTGCAGCAGCGAGACAGTCGTCACAAGCACCTCATGCTCCCGCCCGACTCTACATCGCATCGCCGGTCGCGGTCGGAAGCGTTGCTTCTCTCACTGTACGATAGGCACCACCGGGAGCAGAATCGGCTGTCGTTGTTGAGATTTCACGATAACGAAAAATAAAGAAAGGCAGAAACAAATCGCCTCAATAAATTTCGGATCAGGATACACCGACGGTGAGCACGCGCGGGCTCGTTCACTCGAGCTTACGTCCCCCATTCGTGTACTGCGCGGAATACGCAAGAAGTCGGAGGATTGGAGTTCGGGAAAAATATTTCGGTGGGAATATTCGGATTCTTCGAGCGGACATGGCGAGATCCCGCGGCTTCCGCGGGTCGAATCTCCCGAAAAACCGCGGGAGAGCGACAGAATGCCCTGTGGTACAGTTCCGATTTTGATGGTCTGCGACAAGATTTGCTGGCGACAGCTGGGTCGGAGCGTTCTCATGATAATTTCAACATTGTTCAACTTAGAGCGTTGTCAGTCAAACGGTGATTGCATTTACCATTGTCTCGGTCGTCTTGTGGTCGAAGTTTTTGAAGCATTTTCCGAGTGTCGACGTCGAGCTGACGATCAGGTGGCTCGACTTGTCACTCTCGTCTGATCACCGAGGCTTACGTGTTTCCATATGACTTTGGATCAACGACGCTCTGCCGGGGTCCACGCCGCCGCCGGTCTTTGGGACAGGGACGCAATGTCTCTCGCCGACACATCGAACGGAACGGAGCTTCTTGAATTGACGATATTCCCTCTTCTGTTCCAGGTGAAAGTCTGGTTCCAGAACAGACGGACGAAACACAAACGACAGAAACAAGAGGAATCTGAAGGAGGCTCTGTCGGAGCGGGCCAATCGAATAATAACAACAACAACACGACGCCGCCTTCGCCCGGCTCTATGTCACCGGACATCGAGCTGGAAGAAAGCGATGAGGAAGACGATCCAATGGCGAGCAGTCCTCAGCAACAGCATCTCCAACTGCAGCAGCAGCTCCAGCAGCTGCAGGGAATTCCTCCTCAATTATTGAATCCTCAGCTGCAACAACACATACAGCTGCTCCAGCAGCAGCATCACCATCTTCTACAGCAGCAAGCAGTTCAACAAGCCCAACTCCAACATCAGCAGCAGCAGCAAGACCAACGTGAAGCACGCGAGCCGCGTGAACGAGCGAGTCCACCGTTCGCTCAGTCTCTAGTGGTGAAGCGGGAGTCCTGAATGTGCATTTTTAGTCAGAACAGCATTTACGAAGATCAATTCGAATGAACACATGAATATGTGAATCTATATGAGGAGATATATTTAGATAGGTTCGAGATAGGCACGGAGATGATCTTCTTATTGTCACGGAAATGGGAGCTGATATCGCACCGTTCACTGGTTCTTCGGAGCAATAGGAATATTGTTCGGCTCGAGGAGACCGAGGGTTCTTCTACCGACATCCCGTGTCGAAGCTCCCGGGGATCAAACCCATCTTGATAGCCAATCAGCCCTCCCCCTATGATTCAGAGCTGCGATCGCAGCAAGCGTCGGATCGAACTTCACAGGTTCCGGAGAGTGGTCCAGAATACCCACAAGTATGAAGCTATCTGCGGTTTGAAATCTCGAGAAATGTGGGTCGATTCCAGTGTACCTATGTGTATCAAGCTATGTAGTTATCGTTCGCGATTCAACGATACTGTCTTTAAATTATGAGCAGCTGGTGGCGATTCGACGGCAGAAGGTTTCCTTGCCGACGCACGACTAATTCTGGAGGAAAATCGATATTTTCTCCGATGAAGATGGTGGTATGAATGATCTTTATTCCAATGTACATACGAATTTTATTTAAGCGAAGTGAAGATTGATGACAAGTGAAATGCGATCGACATGTGAGAGGAAGGGGGCCACAGCGCTGGTTTCTCAGCCAGGGAATGTGTTGTTTCGAAGGTCGCCCTCCATGAAGCGACTCTTCGAGAATTTCTCCAGACGGATCCGATGGCCATTGTTGCACCCTTTGAATATTCGCTTCCAATGATGCGCGATTTACGTTTACCGTGAGGTTCCCCATAAATTCCAATTGAACGAGAGACGACCCGACGTCTCGACTAATGAGCTTGAAAACATGAACCATCAGGATTCCTTTCCGAGCGGTCTGACGTCTCTCAACTCGACCTTGTACTAGCTCTCTTTGAAATTCGTACTTCAATTTGAATTTTTTAACCCCAGATGGATAACCCACCGATTTTCGAGTAGCCTCGGTCTTACTTGTTCGCGATTCTGGCTGCCCGTCATTCAATTGGTTGCTCACGTCGTTTCTTGTGGGCGAACGATTTGTATCGCGCCAGATGACCTGTCGTATCAATTCACTCATCGGGAATGCAGGAGGCATCGATCGTGCGTCTGAGCGCTCTCACCATGGAGAGTAGAGCTGGCAACCATCAGCAGTCATGGAGACCGGTTTCATTTCCTCTCTCCCCTCCTTTAATGACATCGACTCTGTATTACCCTCTAATATTTGTTCTGCCTCCACGGAGTGTCTTGAAAGTCATCGCAATTATCGGCTTTATTGGCGGTTCGGGTTACGCACAACACTCGAAACATTTCCTCTTAGATACAAAGATACAATCAACCGCTCCCGAAAGCTCCTCGATGGCTACTACATAGCTGGATCTTTTCCAGCACCAGTTATTTCCCTCCTGAGCGCGATGCATGCCCAAAATGACCATGCGCCAGGAGGTATGGCGATTGTATCAGACAATCATCACCGCGTCGGCTTTCCTCCTAACTGCTCCATTCCGGTAAACGCAGATATGAATTCGCATATAGCCGTCGGAGTATGCCGCATTATCCCTGATCGAAGGACTTCGACTACACAGACTAGTCCCGAATGAGGAAACGAGCTGTGTCCCCTGAAATCTGAAAGTGACTTATTCTATCGACGCACTCTACCCAAATGCCGCTCGAGATCACGGTCCCTCCCACTCATCGTGTCGTTCAGAACGCTCAATCCGACCGGGATTGATTTCAAAGGCTCTTCCATGTTCGAACACTTCGCCCCCATCAAGAGGTTTCCGAGAAGAGGGATCGATCGATGGGAGACGGGCTCGAGAAAGCCGCTCCAATTTAGTGAAGATGTAATGAAGATTTTTCCGGCAACTGCTGATCGCATGTTCCTAAAAATACCGAGGTGAAGACTGAATCCTCGATGTACATAGATACGACTGATACAGAAACAATGTGAAATGATTTTTGGTCCAATAAGAAGAACCACGATGGAGAAGAAGAACACAATAAATGCTGGAAGCAATGATGGATGTGAATACCCTCTCTTTATTCATGTTCATAGGAACAGCCGTTCCTCTGTATCCCCCAGAATGCCCGAAAATGATTGCCCTGGGCGGACGGAATAAGTCGCACAGCATATGCATATTCATTCCGGCACAGATCGCGCTCTCTTCTGGATAGCTCGCCGAGATTTAGATTCAATCGCGAATCGGAAATCCTCATGCGGATTTCCCTCGTGTCAATCCCGCCCTCCACGGTACGACAGATTCCACTCGTAGGCCGGAATACTCGAAATGAGTTGAAATGAGCGACTCAGATCACTTCGTACGCTCTCGCCGCCCTCTCTCGAGATTCCGACGATGACGATACCGACGATAAGGGCGATTTCGTTGCTGTTGCTCCACACGCAGCCCGAAGGAAAGGAGACTTACAGTTCTAATCTTCAAGCGAGGCTCTCTCCCTCCCTCCGGCAGCAGCAGCGGCGCATCAAGCTCCGCCCATGGTGGCGAGCCGACGAACAGCCCCAACGGGACGACACACTAATGCCAGCCAGGCATCCAGCCGTCTAGCTAGCGGTAGCAGCGACAACAAGCAGCAGACCACCACATAACATTATTTATGCTTCATTGTCAACCGAAGCGAATGTCACCACTCTGTCGAACGGGGAGCGAAATAGACAACGCGAGGCAGAGAGAGACTCGCATAGGCTACGGCAGTGGGAACGACCGCCGCCGTTAGCACCACCGGCCGAGGAGTGAGGGCGAAAAAGCGAGAGAAAAACAACACAGACACAATTGGGAGACAATTGGAATAGGGACTTGGACAAATAAAGGCCTTGATGCCAACTTGACATCTGAACGCGGAGCTCAGCCTCCTGCACGTCAGTCAGTGAGACAGCCGACCGACCGACCAGGCCGCCAGTCTGTTCGTCAGTCAGTCAGTCAGTCACTCACTCATTCGACCGCTAAGTCGGCATAGTCAGCGAAGCAAACGACCCACAATGAACAAAACAGTGTCACTAAATCTGTCATCATCGCCCTCCGCATGATCAGCATTGCCATCGTCGACGTCGCGAGATCACCGTCACTACCGTCATCTTCGTCACGATCATGAGCGGGTGGGTAACATGAGCGAGCCGATTGGAGTCACTCACAATCGCGGCGATTGTCAAGCGAGCTTATTATGGTACCGTGAACGTAGATGTCACGCCCTATGGCTCCGGCTGGAAGATGGAGCGCCGAGATTCAATAAAAGCAGGTATTAAAAAAGGAGATCAAATGAAATGAATCGTCAAAAAAGTACGCGCTGGCTCTTCCCTTTCAATGGGGATCCTAAGAGTCGCATCTTCAAGCCCTCCTCCTTTGTTCTCGCCGCTGGAGGTTGTGCTCTAGGCAGCTGACGATGGGTTCCCAAGAGACGAGCACGGAAAAATCATCCAACAATAGGTACTCCTCTCGCTCCCCATGCGTCTCCATCAAAACGGATGATTTTCAAATGAACTCGACGTTCCTCAGTCTGCTGATTGGGACAATCACCGCTTGCATCTTAGCCATCCCACAGACATCAGAGCGACCCAGCGGAGAACACAGCAGCTCTCCCTCGACCGCCTATGAATCGTCGGGCTGTCTTCTTGAAAATATGCCCAACTACGTTTATTCATATCCCGTATTCTTCCCGCATGTACCATATGGCAGGCGTCAATGGAGGGATAACGGTCGGAGGAGCAGAGTCTGAATCTTGATAGAGCAGAGAATTCCAGAGGTTCCTGCTATCCGTCTCCATGTCGGAACCCAAGCGTAAGGAGACGGTAAGTTTGATTTGGCACTGACTCCCCGCAATGCCACCAAGGGAAGGTCGGAACGGTCCGCACCGTCATCATCCAGTGAATGCAGCTGATTAATAACAAACCGGAAACTGTTCTGCGACGGTATCCGATGGTGAATACCTACCCTCGTGTCATGCTTCCATTGTTCCCGTACTGTGTGGTAGTGGCTGTTCTCACTATTAGGGCTTCTCGTCGTTGTTGCCGTGGCCCTCGACGTCGTTATTGCTGTTGTTGATTTTCGTGTGGGCGACTGAATTTCATTACCACTAACACGAGGCGAACGAACGCCCGACCGACGAGTGAGGTGCGGGTGAGCGAGCGAGCAACTACAGGCGAAAGGAAGCCTCTTAGACATCTCGTTCTATACCAATTAACTAAACGGACAAACACGAAACCACACAAACGAACATTCGCTCGCCCCATTTCAATAGCTTAAGAAGAAGAACATCGATCGTGAGGTGTTGGAGCCGTCGTCGTCGACGTTCTCAGCTGCGGCCGCTGCTTGCAGGGTGATGCTGGTTCGATGGGTCGTTTGTTGCTACCCATCGTGAGCGATGAGTTGTTCGCAGCTGCCGCCGCCGCCGTTGCTCTAGTCATTTTCGGCCATCATCGACTCTCATCTGTGGCTTTCTCGGCTGGCTGGATGTTAGTTTATTCATTTGTAGTTTGTCGATACGAATGTTTGCTTTTCGACTGACTTACACGATCACTCATTCAGGTTCGTCCGCGCGTGTTCTGTTCGTCCATCAGCCAGGCGGCTGGCATAGCGCCATCCGAAGAGCTCAATGCAAGCAGATTCAATCGAGCTAAGCCGAACACTTCGCGTCCCTCATCCCATGCGCTACCTGGATATCAGAGGAATGGGGGACCCAGATGATTCCCCTGCGGCAGGTTTGAAGGGAAAAAGCGGGCGGCGTCTTCGCATGAACCAACGATTCGGGAGAAAATCGAAGCAAATCGGAAATTCCCGAGGATGGAGATAAACGTCGCCAGGAGCGTCACATCGATTCGATCATTGATATGACACAAGCCTCATCTATAAGTGTTGAAATTATTCTCGAATGTCTGTACAGAACATTGAAATCGGCGTCTCTATCGAATTCAAGCGCAGGACAACAAACGACGTCATGGAAGTCCTCTTATGGTTATCAAGTCACCTGCCTCGCCTATTCGCGGAGTTTCGAGATAAAATACCTGATTTCACCGCTGTCGTTCTCGGTTCAATTGACTACCGTCGACGCTGAAGAAGCCGAAAGCGATGAGAGTAGCCGCCTTTTGTCGAGCGTACGTGCAGTAGGTAGTACTGTGTTTCTTTCAAGGGAAGGCTGCGATCTCGAGAATGAAAATTCCTCGTTACGAACATGCCGGAGAGAACAAAACATTGTACTAGATTGTTTCGGAACACCGGCGAATGGTACGCGCTCCCGGGCAGGGGCCTAAGACGTTCCGGTGAATGTCATCCCTTACCAGCGAGTGTTACTTCGATTTTTTCATCCGGTCGTGGGTACGGCTGTCGCCAACGGTTACGTCGGAGCTTGCCTCACTACGGCGTGGTGCATCGTAAAGAGAAGATTTAGAGCTTCCCACCGCGACCGTCACTCACCTGCTGCACCTCGCTCGCTAATTGAGAGGAAAAGAAGTCTAAGTGCATTCGTCCGCTCTTCTTCCTTGGCGTTCCCCTCCTCCAACAGGTTCCGTCGCTCTCGCTAAATATTCTGAACAGTATGATGATGTGCACTGCAGATCACCTTTGGAATCTCTTCTTGCGGGAAGGATGGGGGAGGAAACCAGCGTCCGAGAAGCCGCTATATGAATCATTATCCGCCTCGTCACATACTCGAATCGATCATAAGATCCTATAGTGCTTGGATTCTTATCAAAAGAGAGTACAGCACCATATCTATGGGTACTACGAGAGTGTTCACCACGTCTACGGCTCCAACGGGGGTAAGAGCCGAGGTGAAAAGTCTTGACACTGATCGTACAGGGCCTCCCGAATTCGTAGCTTCGTTCTTGGTTTCTCGATGTACTTGCCGAAAAAGCTCCATCCGAGGACTAACAGTGAGAGAAAGCTGCGTAACAAGAGATGCGTCTCTTTCGGTAGGCGGTAGGCACATTTGGAAAGACGCGAATTATCGTGGTGGGATCATTAGCACCGAGACTAGGAGGACCCATTACATTGTCAGAGAATAAGATCGAAGGAATAAAACATCGCTGGATACATTTGACTGATCGGTCTAGCCATCATCTCCGGCTGAAAGTTCCGATTCTCGACGCGCAGGAGCAGGCAGTATCCGAGAGCTCGTGCACCTATGAAGGGCTCCGACCGCGGTGTGGCACGGTAAGTTGCAGTCCAACTATAGAGAGCCCAAAACAAAACGACGCGGAACTCCGAGGACTTCCCGCAGAATCTCCTGTAACGTCGATTTCAACGTCATGGAGTGAATCGAATATGACTTATAGATATGCGCGCACTGCCCATCGAGCGTTTCTCCTCTTGCTTGTGCAATTTTGCTCGAAAAGCCGGAGCCGTAATGAAGTCAGTCCAATCATTCCACGAGAGAAAAATGAGCCGCGTCCCTCTGCGGCGGACACAAGGATCTCCTTAGCCGGGTGATCAGCGAGATAATTCGCGGGAAATCAACACACAAAATGCTCATGATAAGCTTCATGACTAATGTGTACGTTACGGAAGAGGGTGACCGGTGCTAGGGAACGTGCGCGTTACCGCGGCTTAGACAATCACACGTACACCCAGGACGAAGATTTGTGACGGAACAAGCTAACTAGACAGGTCTCGGATCAAACCGATTCCATGAGGGTAGAATTTCGCGGCATTCTTCACGTCTGCGATGATGAGAAGAGGTCATCAAACCAGCCAGTCACAGAACCATTACACAGTTTCATTGTGATAATTGGATGCCGCGCGATTGCTCGTGAGGGAATCGGCTCCTCGCTTCTTCCCTTATCTTGCTGGTGGATGGTGGCGATTGGTCTGTCGGCCATTGTTCAAACAGCCCCGATGATCGACAGCACTCCCGATTCGCGATGAATGCACACACTCATTCCGTCGTTATTTGACTGCATAATATACTCTCCAAGCCGAATATAGGGCTCTCGCATTCATCTCATTTCCTCGCAATTGACGTGAGTATCGTTCCCTTCCCACAGGAAAAGTGCATTTTGGTATTTACACAGCTGAAAGTGACGTAAACGTCCCCACTTATGAATCTGGCGAACAAAGATGCGGGTCGGTAATAATAACATGACAGCCACGATATGATGACGCTATGATAGCATAATTCGCCGAACAATGAGTCGTAGATCATCCGATTACTTGGGCAAGTACAGAAGGGTTTCCACCGATCGAATGCAACTCGCACTTCCGAGAGTGGTGCAAAGACTAGACTCGAACGAGCTCCTCGCTGTTATCTGTTATCGTAGGTCGATACACGTTCGCAGGAATACCAAAGCAGGCACTTCAGCACAGTCTGCAACGTATCCATCCCGTCCACTGGAGATCTTCATGGGACTGATCAGCTCCAGAAAACAACGGGGAAGCCTGTGGGTACGCGCGACCTGACAGGCGAACCTCGCTCAGATTTTCAGATGCATGGGCGCATTCTCAAATGTATCAACCGGGCACTGCTGCATACATTCGACGGGAATAAGGGCTAAGAATTTACAGGTCGCAACGCGAGCCTGGCTACGACAGCACTTGATGAACAGGGGAGAATTAATTCAATCAGCGGGAGGGCGGGAGGCAGAAGGAGAAAAAGTCGAATATCATTAAACAATAGTTCGGCCGAGGCGCTTTCTGCCCGGAATAAATTGAGAATTCAGTCTTCGTCGTCCCTAAATTCGGCCTCGATTGGCTATTATTGATAAATTACAATGAAACTCAATGGCCAGTGGTCTTGGTCAGTACCGAGCGAGCGAGCGAGAGAAGGAATTTCCGCGCGGAACGAAACAGGCGGAAGAGCTAGACAGACGGTAAAGACGCATCAGACCCCGGGAGGAAAAGAGAGCCGAGGAGCTCTCGTGGTCGCCGTCGTTGCGGTTAATCGTTAATTAAATGTTCGAGAAGTCTCCGACGTCGCCTTGGCAGTTTCTCTACCCGTGTACCGGGCGTCTCGCCTCTCCGTTCACCTTATAAGTTGTTTTCGCGCGTGTTCGTTGCCTCGGAGCCTTGTCGCCCGATCTTGGGCTCTGTCTGCCCCGCCCTTCGCCTGAACGGACGAGCACGGAAAATTGTTTGCAAATATCAAAACCTCATCATACTCGAACTCCCGGTCCCCGATCGTTCTTCCTGACAAGCTGCAGAATTTCCGCATGAATCATCCTCAATATCATCCGAACCTCCGAGGAACTTTGCACTAGTATCAATGCAGAGGTATCGGAAACTGTCGTGAAATATCCAGGGTCGAGACTCCCCTCCCGGGGTCTCTTCGGCGGACGGAAGAAGAATCCTGGCGAGGATCATTATCCAATCGTTCCTGATCCGTTCGGCAGTGCCGTTACAAATGGAACCATCCGAACAACAGCAGCGCGAGTCGCAGTGTTCCTCGTGGCAGCATTGAGGTACCTACCAAGCGGCAGAAAACGCCAGAAAATGAAGGAGAGAGGAAGAGAGCGCAATTAATCAGCGCGTGAAGCTGAAAAGTAATGAGGTATCGGACAGCACTCAGTTAGTGGTAAGTGCTGCCGCTCGGTGGGGGGCAGAAGTCATGATGGCACTAGCCAACTACCTCACATCGGATGGATACAGAATCGCCAAGCCCGAGGGTAAGGGAAGCAAAACAGCGGAGCCCTCATCGAAGCGATCGAACAACCAGCCAGGGGAGCACCCAGCACCACTGGGAGAGAGCCACCAAACAAAGCTGCTAAGCAGTCAGACAGACTGACAGAGCGACGGACTGAAAGACAGACAATCAGGCAAGCCACCAATCAACTACGCCCCTCTTTCAGTGGCTTCTCACTATGCCACTGTTCAAGTATCCGACCAATCATTAGATTTCGCTGCGGAGCATCGTAGGTATCAGCACTGTCTCCGTGAGCTACGGGGCGAGAACAGACGATTGGTGAGCTGAACGGAACGAATTAACAAAAGAGAAGGGAAAACGCACAGTCTACGTTCGCTGAATCGACTCGTCTATCTCTTTCTCTGTATGCTCGTTCTGCACTCTGTCTAGTTGACCCGACAACGGAATACGCTCACCGCGCCCAACAATTAGCTCGAGGAATCACGTTACGCATTCATTGCGTGACTATATGCAACGGCCGCGGAGAACGCGCAGCCTTGATGAGCCCGTGATGAAAAAAAAATTAATGAAAGCTACGGAATTCGTGGTGAAGTAGCTCATCACGTTTACCTTGTGATCACGAGTTCCGAAGCCCCTTTCATGAAATCGAAATTCGCATTCGTCGCTCCAATTTCGGCAAGAGTTCCTGGACAAACACCGTTTAAGCAGAGTTTCCCCCCACAGGGTCTCCGTCTCCTGGCCAGATTCGGTTCTCTTCGGCATGAATATTCAGCCTACCCACTCATCTTGAATCACAGTCTGCGAAATTGGGCGACTCACGGTTTTGCGCTCCAAATAATTTATCAAGGGAGGATTCGAGCAGCACCTATATTTTAAGGCTGAGGAATCGTCGCGGGGAAAACGTCGAAATCGCGGCAGAGTGGCGATGAAATGC